CGCACGATCCGCTGCATGGGACATCACCCTCAATCGAATTCGCCATAAGATTACTGACTCCCGTTGTGTTTCTAGGGGCGGTATTCATAATCGTTTCTTAATAGCGTTTTCGATTGGGGTGCACTGGCTGCACTCAGTGTCAAGAGCGTGTTCGATTGGCAGTGCCAATGCGCACTTGGCTAGTGTCACGTGTTCATTTGATCGCACGACACTCGCGTAGTGCGCACTCAGTGCGCACTAAGTGGCACGAGATATTTTGACGGTGCCAGTTCAGTGCACGTTTTATCACAGTTAAGGATATACATAGGGACAAGCAAATTTGCGCAGTTGAATTGAAAACGGGGTCTTGTCCCTACTCTTATATCTTTTACTGTGGTTTTGTAACATTTTGTTGAACATTGCTTCAAAGTGAACAAAAATGAGTTTCAGCTTTAGCACTGAAAATCTTGGCGTATTCTTTTGAACTTGCACTATTCAGTGCAACCCATGGAACTCGTCCAGTGTTGGTGTGAACTGAGTGCGCACTGGTGCGCACTAACTTTTGCCCAATCGAAAACGCTATTATATTTAAGATCGCCTTATGGGCCTTCTACAATAAGCCATTAGTCATATCAGAAGTCAGAAGCTAAAAATTGATCAATCACAGTCGTCAATTTTTAGCTTCTAAGGCCGGTATTCATAGTCGGTTCTTATTTTAAGACCGTCTTAAGTAATGTCTTAAGTCGCTAATGCAGCCTTCTGATTGGTTCATGACATCTTAAGACTGTACTTAAGACAGTCTTAAATATAAGATCCGACTATGAATACCGGCCTAACTTCTGATTTATGACTAATTGCTTATTGTAGAAGGCCCATTAAGTTCTATCTTAAGATGTCTTAAGACGCTAATGCAGCCTTCTGATTGGTTCGTGACTTGTTAAGATCGTACTTAAGACAGGCTTGAATATAAGACCTGACTATGAATACCGGCCTAGATGTTTCCAGGAAATTAAAACGTGGTGTCTTCAGACTTGTGTCTCAACTTCAGATTTTAGACGATTCTGAATGATTCCAGGCGTTCTAGCTCGGCAACAAGATAGGTAAAGACAAAAGTTATTATATTATTTTTAATAATGGATAGAGATATAGAAGAAAAAACTGATAACATTGATAATACTAATAATATAGTGGAGTTGTCACATGAAGAAAAGGTTAAGAGAGCCGAAAATGAATTAGTATTATTCTTTGTTAAACATGATATCGATTTTCACGTTGCAGATGATTTAATTTTATTATTGAAAGATATCTGTATAGATTCTAAAATTGTGCAAGATTTTTTACCAGGCCAAGTTAAATGCGCAGAAGATATTGTTGAAATCATGATTCCAAAACGTGAAAACGAAATTATGAATCAATGTTTACAGTTATGCAGATTTTCAATTTTAATCCATGAAATTCATAAAAATGATCGTACAAATAATCCGTGCACAGTATTAATCATTCTTGTTCGATATGTTTCGCCTTTAAATAAAAAA